GGGTCATCACATGATGGAGCTAGTTTCATGACCCTTTTTGGGCCAGTTAAGCAAATCAGACATAGCGGTCATAAACTGAATCCTTTGTTCACTATGGGCCAGTTTTGCCCATAAAAATTTCCCCCACTGGTTTTCCTGGTCTTCCCCTTGTTATCCCTCCATCCTGCATCCATCAGACCTGTTTAATCTTCTTTGGCCCAGCTCTGAAGGTTTTGCTTACTTGTTTTGTTTTGTTTTGTTGATCTGATAAGCATCCTCTTCCTTTGCCTTTCTTTAAACTTTGGTGTAGAATTCCTTCTTCGATATTTAAAGCTCCCTCTTGTCCCTCAGCGGGCCTGTTTGGCCGCTGTCCTGGGTACACTCCTGATCTGAGTTTCTTGTTAAAAGGGAAGATGGTTTCCTATTTTAGTTTTTGGGGCGGAAAAGGTTTAGGATTTGCCTTTGGATGATTTTTTTTTAAAAAGGCAGAAAGAACGTGCAGCCCATTCCTTTGGGGAGAGACGTAATTAGAGAACCACCGTTGCCAGTAGGATAAGAAGCTAAATTGCCTTTATGGAACAAAACAAGAAAATAAACTTTGCATCTAGCTTTACCATTTCCAATGTACACAGTGATTGTAGTGCTGATTAAAGGCAATGTTGCAACCAATTGTAAATGTAAATACTCTTACACAGCTTGTTGTTGCCACTATAAATATTGACAAATCTAAAGGTGGGTGTAGCAAAAAGAGAGAGGCTTGCATACCCAGAAGTCATGAGCTGGTATAAAACTGCCCCTTTTAGATGTCAGAAGTAGTTTGTGCTGGGTGGTTTTGCCCATCTGACTAGAAATTTGCTTAAGAAGAATGGAACCAGGTCTTTAGCTGTCCTTCAATTGGTGCCCTCTTACCCCCAGAACAGGAATATGCCCCTCTCACTGGCAATTACCCACATCCAACTGAAGTATAATTCCTAGAGCATCCATAATCATGGAAGACAGGGTCATCTTCCACCCAACTCTTTTTTCTTCCTTCGGCTTGACTTCTTAGAGGTAGACTAGAACATCGTTGGAAGACTCTTTCAGATCTCATGGTGGAAGTGTCACTGGTGACCTCTTCCAGATCTGAAGGTGGAAAAGTCACTGGTGGCTTCTTCCAGATCTGAAGGTGGAAACGTCACTGGTGGCCTCTTCCAGGTCTGAAGATGGAAACGTCACTGGTGGCTTCTTTCAGTTCTGAAGGTGGAAATGTCACTGGTGGCCTCTTCCAGATCTGAAGGTGGAAACATCACTGGTGGCTTCTTTCAGTTCTGAAGGTGGAAACGTCACTGGTGGCCTCTTCCAGATCTGAAGGTGGAAACGTCACTGGTGACTTCTTCCAGATCTGAAGATGGAAACTTCACTGGTGACTTCTTCCAGATCCGAAGGTGGAAACTTCACTGGTGACTTCTTCCAGATCTGAAGGTGGAAGCATCTTCTTTGTATAACCTTTGGAGATTATGGCTTCTTCAGTGGTGCAGTTCCACTCTCAATTTCTTTTACAATTGGGCATCTACCTGCATTTCCAAATTATGGAAAGAAGTGGAAAACCTTATAGAACATCCTGGAAGTCTCATTTTGGTTTCAACCTTGGGGGGAAAAAAACCCTCTAAAATAAAAAAGATTTATTTTTTTTTAAAAAAAACAACAACTCCCTTGCCATCAATCAGATGGCAAGGTAGCGTATCCATCAAATAAATACACGAAAAATAAACTTCTCCCACATCCTGTAACTTGACAGAGGTTCTGAGTTCCCATCAATTGTCACCAAAGAAGAGACTGGAAGCAGGAAATAAGATTCGCTTCTCTGAGCCAACAAACAGCTCAGTCCAAAATTCACCTCAATCAGGGCCAAGAACTTAAGCAATATGGTCAGAAGTGAAGTAATCAAAAGGAAAGGTAATTTTATATTCTGTACCGAGCCAGGAAAAGGAGGAAGAAGACGGTTTTACGATGAGTCTTAAAAAGAAATGTATGGGAGGAAAATGTAAAAACACAGAATTCCATTTGACTTGATTAGAACTGGAAATACGTTTCTAAAGCCAGAACGTCCAGTTGTCTCTTGAAAACTAAACGATCTGCCTTACGAAATGCTTGCTAGTGACAGGAAGGTATGTGGTTTTTTTTTAAAAAAAAACAACCCTCAGTTTTTGAATAAAACCATTTTAGAAAATAAACATTGCTTCCAAGCCAGTTTGTAGTTGTTATGATAGGAGTTGTGGTCCTAAATGCATTAAAACCATTTCCCCCGTTCCGTAGATCTCTTGGGGTTACAATATCTTGAATTCCTAGTTAACGTGGAGGAAACTAGCAACTTTAAAAAAAGAAATGCAGCTTATTGCTGTTAACTTGCTCTCTTTGTTTTGGTACAGTTTCCTTCAGAGCAGCTACTATTTATTCTATATTATTTCTATTATTTTCTGGTGTGCTCTCACGTTTTTGAAATTGCCCCTTTGAAGTGGATGCATCGTTTGAAAAATGCTTTTTTTTGTTTTGCGAAATCAGTGCTAACCCATTCAATGACAAGTTATTATTTTATTTTTTTACTACGCCCAGCCATCCTACAAGCCAAGAAAAGAAGCAGCACGTTGCCTTTTACTAAAATAGAGTAACTCACCACACTGGCTTGTAAAACTCAGTTTTGCTCAAGGACCGAAAGCATTCCCTGGCCCCCAAATGCCATCGCACTAGGACTCTGGAGCATGCCTGTCTTGCGCAGAATTGAAACGAGTGGGATGTTGAAGTTCTTGCATGCGGTGATTAAAGGTTTTCATGGGATCTTCTGAGATTTGGGGGGTTCTCCCTCAAAGATTTCTTAGCTCCGTGGTGGCGAACCTATGGCACGCGTGCCACAGGTGGCACACAGAGCCCTCTCTGTGGGCATGCACACCGTCGCCCCAGTCCTAGGCCTTCAGCTGAGTTTTATAAAACCTTTTCGCTTTAGGTCTCCGCCGCTGTGTGCAAAAAAAAAGGTTCAATCAATTTCAACTTCTTGCAGGAAAAAAAAAGATCTCGCAAAGTTGGAATTGATTGATTGAACTTTTTAGTCCCACCCAGTCTGCCGTTACCACCGCAGCCACGCCCACCCAATGGGCCACACCCACCCAATGGGCCACGCCTACCCGGCACCCGGCGATACATAAGTGGGTTTTGGGTTGCAGTTTGGGCACTCGGTCTCTAAAAGGTTCGCCTTCACTGCCTTAGCTACTGCCCAGGACCCCTGGTTCTGCTCCAACTTGCAGTTTTATTTATGCATTGTTTAATTTATATAGCTGCCCAACTCACACATAATGTGATTCCAGGTAGCTTAAAAATTTTTTTTTAAAAATCCACCATATAATAAAAACCCATCAAAACCCACCACCACCACCCGTGGTAACAACAACACAATCAGATCAGCCACTTGGTCCATCCCCATTCATGTTCCCCAGGCCCACTGACAAAACCACCTTTTTAGGGCTAGGGAGATCCTCCATCATCCAGGTCAGGGCTGTCCCAAAGGAGCTTTTTCAGAAGGCGACTGGACTTTCTTTGTTTTTTCTTTGAAGACATTTTGCTTCTCCCCCAAGAAGCTTCTTCGGCTCTGACTGGATAGTGGGGAATGGAGCTAGTCAGAGCCGAAGAAGCTTCTTGGAGGAGAAGCAAAACGTCTTCAAAAAAAAAACACAAAGAAAGTCCAGTCGCCTCCTGAAAAAGCACCTTTGGGACATGTTTTTAGGGCCTTTGGGAAAAGCAACAGGGTGGAAGCCAATCCTACCTTGGAAGGAAAGGTGTTCCATAAAGAAGGGGCCACCACGGAGAAGGCCCTTTTTTTGTGACAAGTTTGGGGATTCCCAGCAGGAATTTTTCAATGCTTGAAAATAACTTATGGCAAGGATGATTCTCCCCACTCCCCCACCCCAGATTCTGTCGTTCCAGAATCCTTCCAGATTCTGTCTGGTAGTGGCTGATCTAATACCTGTCTGGCTTTTCTCTGTTTTGAGGGTTAATGTTAAAAGTGCTCAAGAATATTATAGGTCCCTGCAGAGAGTCAGTTGTGCCCATCCTCTCCCGTGCCCATTTATCTAGGACAGGGGTCGGCAACCTTGGCTCTTTTATGACTCGTGGACTTCAATTCCCAGAATTCCTGAGCCAGCATGGGGGAACTATGGACCCCTCATGACTCATGGACTTCAACTCCCAGAATTCCTGAGCCAGCATGGCTCAGCTTGGAAACCTCTCCCTTTCCCCTCAGCATGGCTGGCTCAGGAATTCTGGGAGTTGAAGTCCACGAGTCATAAAAGAGCCAAGGTTGCCTACCCCTGACCTAGGAGAAGTCCCACGGTGTGCCCAGGACATGATACTGATTGTCTCTTTCAATCATCGTGCATTGAAGATGGTCTCAACTGAAGTATTACTGGGATGTAACTTTCCCAGTTCTGAATGCTATTTCTTCCTCTTCCCCCCCTTTTTTTTCTCTCTTTTTCTTTCGGTAATACGAAAGGCTACAACGACTGGTGAAAGATTTGCAGAAGCAGCTTCAGATTCAAGATGGTACCAAAATCTCCGCTCTGGATAGGATTTTGGGAGAGATTTCCCGGATCCTGGAAAAAGAGGTAAGGTCACTTTTACTGCTCAGTGCCAAATTAGGTCATATCCTTTGATGCAGGTGTAATTCCTGATTCCTTCCGTATATACAATCTTGGCTCAAGATTGATAAATCCTTGGAGTTTCTTAGATCTTCATGGTGGCTTGGTTCAAGGCCATAAACCATAGTTTGCAAGCCACAGTGGCTGGATTTCCACTTTGCCATAAGCCACAAACAAGCCAACATTCAGGAGAAGCATAGTCAAATTCTGAATATTTGTTCTTTTGCTGAAGATATTTGAAATTGTGGGGTTAATTGAACGGAAAGGATTAAAAAGCTAAACTAGGCTGATGTGTCATTTTGTACTTCTTTCCCAATGTTGCTTTAAAATACTCTTGACTATAAATATAGGGGAAATGCTGTTTGTATCCAGTTAATGTTAATTAGATTAATGTGATAAAATTAATTTTTCCTTTAAATGCATTGCTCTTTTATTTCTTTCACAAATTTAACACGCTATAGCTGTTTCTGATGTTTTCATCATTAGATCAACACCTCAAACTCTTTAATGCCAGATAGGGAGATGAACGGTATTTTATTCCATTTCGCCCCCTAATCATTAAATTAATTGCCTTTCCAAAATCAGTACGTCAAGCTCTCAACAGCATTTGCTGAGTCTGACACCTAAATGCCAGAATTTTACATATTCAATATATTCTCTATCAGCCTTTCAATTTTATTGCCTGTATTTTCTGGTTTTTATTTTACATCTGAGAGAGAGCTCTTTATCTTTTTCTACAGTAAGGTGTTTTTTTTTTTATGAAATTGCATTAAAGCAAATTACTAGCAGGCTAAAACTGATGAACCAGTAAAAGGCTGGTTCTATCGCATGACATAAAATGTGCAGTACAATTATGTTTAAACGGAGATCTAATTTTTAAGACGGCCAGCACTTTTCACTAAAAACGTCCTTCTGAAATGGTCCTATAAGCAAGATCATTACCAGTCTGAAATCATCATTGGAATGAGGATTTTGCTTAATTAAAATCGCAGTCCAGGAGGCGCAGCCCTTCATCGCTTTCAAAATGATGGATTGAGGAGGAAGCTTTCCTATTCACTTTGGAAAGAGAAGGAACCGTCCTGGAGAACATATCCCCTACAACTTTTTCCCATCCAATTTTAATTTATTGCCCCTAAAGTCTTTGCGATCTTTCACAACACTGTTGTGAGAATCCTTAACACCTTAAAACAAAACCGCTGTCCTCTCACCACCACCACCACCCCGTTAAAACCAGCTTCACGTTGGTTGACCTGAACAGTTCCTCTGTCTATTGATTGAAAAATGAATTTTTAAAAAATTGGGTTTTGAGTATCAGGAGAATAAGATCAACTTTGTGCAGCTTATCAGCCACTTTTCCTGACATGTGTGTGCCATTACTGCAAGTAAACAGAATTTAAACAAGATAGATTTGAGCAGGAATTCCTCTGCCCTCCCTCTAATTACGGAGCCTCTCTAAAAAAAAAAAATATCCAGCCAGGCTGCTGCAGGATGTCGCACACAACTCTTCCTAAGTGAGTTCAAATCTGCCAAAGTTTATAAGCCGGTGGAAGTTAGGAGGCGAAATGCTTCCTGACCCGTGCCGCCGAGTGTAATGTGGTACAATATCAGATTCTGGCAAAGCCAGCCTCCGTTTGGGTTCATTGAAATGCGAATACCACCAAGCGGTGGAAGAAAAATAAATATGCTGCGGGCGGAACAATCTGGCTGAAAGATTCGGGTTAGGCGACATCCGTCCGAAGGTCCTCCTGCCCGGTTCCTCTCTGGGAAAGGAGGCCTTGGTGCAGCTCATGGGGAGATCTCTGGGGGAGAGAAACGGGATTGGAGTTGAATCAGGCAGGATTATGGGTGTCCTGGTCAAATTTACTTGGTAGCCCACCTGTGGCTTTCTACAGGAGGTTAAAGCCAACTTCTATGGAGGAGGGAGAGGAAGGAGGAGGAGGAGGAGAAGGGAGGAGGAAGAGCAGGAGGAGGAAAGAAGAAGAGGAAGAGGGGGGGGGAGGAAAGAAGAGGAAGAGGAGGAAAGAAGAGAAGGAAGTGGAAGGAGGAGGAGAAGAAGAGGAGGAGGAGGAAAGAAGAAGAGGAAGAGGGAGGAGGAGGAAAGAAGAAGAGGAAGAGCAGGAGGAGGAAAGAAGAAGAGGAAGAGGGAGGAGGAGGAAAGAAGAGGAAGAGCAGGAGGAGGAAAGAAGAAGAGGAAGAAAGAAGATGAAGAGGGAGGAGGAGGAGGAAAGAAGAGGAAGAGGAGGAAAGAAGAAGAGGAGAAGGAAGTGGAAGGAGGAGGAGAAGGAGAAGAAGGGGGAGGAGGAGGAAGAGCAGGAGGAGGAAAGAAGAGGAGGAGGAAGAAAGAAGAGGAAGAGCAGGAAAGAAGAAGAGGAGAAGGAAGTGGAAGGAGGAGGAGGAGAAGAAAGGAGGAGGAGGAGGAAAGAAGAGGAGGAAGTGGAAGGAGGAGGAGGAGGAAAGAAGAGAGGAGGAAAGAAGAAGAAAGAAGAGGAGGAAGAGGATAAGGAAGTGGAAGGAGGAGGAGCTCGTCCTCCTTCTTTCTTCTCCTTCTTCTCCCTCCTCCTCCTTTCTTTTCCTTCTCCTCCTTTCTTCTCTTCTTCCTTCACCTTCCCCCTCCTCCTCGTCCTCCTCCTTTCTTCTTCTCCTGGAAAGAAGAAGAGGAGAAGGAAGTGGAAGGAGGAGGAGGAAAGAAGAAGAAGAGGAAGAGGGAAGAGGAGGAAGTGGAAGGAGGAGGAGAAACAGCAGGAGGAGGAAAGAAGAAGAAAGAAGAGGAAGAGGAGGAAGTGGAAGGAGGAGGAGGAGCAGGAAGAGCAGGAGGAGGAAAGAAGAGAAAGAGGAGGAAAGAAAAGGAAGAGGAGGAAAGAAGAGAAGGAAGTGGAAGGGGGAGGAGGAGCAGGAGGAGGAAAGAAGAAGAGGAAAGAAGAGGAAGAGGAGGAAAGAAGAAGAGGAGAAGGAAGTGGAAGGAGGAGGAGGAGGAGGAGAAGAAGGGAGGAGGAAAGGAGAGGAGGAGGAAGAATTCCCCATCTTGATTTGAACAAACCGTCTTTCCCACGGAATCTCATGCAAGAAACTGGCTTTTAAACATATTGTTTTCCTTCTTCTGAATGTTCTCTTCATTTTTTTTTTTTATCATTAATGAAGTTTCTTTTCATTCTCCATAATCCTTGAAACATTTTTACGCCATCTGCCCAAAGTAGCCAGTGGAATAAAACGGTTTAAAGCGGATTAAATTATATCGCCGGTTAAAAACCTACCATTTGGTTTCAACCGGGAAGAGGGGCTTTTTTGTTTTTGTTTTTTGTTTGTTTGTTTTTTTTAAAAAAAGCAAACGAAACCCAAATTTTATGCCGCTTGCAACACTTCTGTAACTCAAAGGTTTATTGTGATAGAGCTGACCCTGTAATAGGACCATGGCTTTAGTATAAATAATTTCAATCGTATACAGAAGACAAACGGTTCTTTAGGCCTCGGGGTGGATTAGGATAAGCAAACATATGTACAATATTACAAATATCTGTTCTTAATTGGCCCCTGTAAGGCGAGGGTGTGTATATATTTTAACAGGAAAACACAGATTCTGGTTACTAGCATTGATATCCATCAGCTAATAGAAAAATAGATATGGATTTTCCCAGGGATTGCTATAAACATGAACTTTAAATGTTTCTTAAAACAAGCCTGTGGTTTAATCAAACCTGTATTTTCTCCCTTATCGCCGGTAGATATCTGTCTTTTAGTCGTACAGTTGGAAGTAGCATAGATTGTATTTCTGATTCTTTCTGTAATTACACCATTGCTAATTGTGTCGTAATACAGTAACCTAAACAAACGTTTATTGAATTTTCTTCGCAAATTCGCCGCAAGTCGTACTATTACAGGGAGACATTGGGTAGTGAATGCAGAGAGCAAAAAACATCAGTGAATAATCCTATTGACCTTCTTTTGAAAAAACAAAACAAAATTACAGCCTATTTTTTCCAGTCTAAATAGGCTGAATAAATTAACAACTTGGGACCAGGAAAAAAAAAAATCAATCGGGTTTTACATACAGTAAAAAAATAAAAACAAATCACAAGCTCAAAAGGAAAATTCTTATATCCAGTGACGAAAATAAATCTCACCAAAGTTTTAATCCGTTGCAATAAGTACATAAAAAATACTGGGAACAAAATATCTTTCCGAAAATAACCCCCTCCCCAGCCCATGAAACTCTTCCATCAATTGGATAACCTGCAGCTCCCTTGTGGCACAGCTCCCATCATGCCCCAGTTCTGACCAGAAAGATGGGCGGTGTAGTCCAACACATGGCTGGGTGGACTCTGAATTCTTTTTGTCAAGAGTTGTTTTTTACTCAGTGCCAAGAAGTCTGGATGAATGACTTCACTGAAGACCAAAATGAAGCGCGCTCTATAACCGCATCCTATAACTCTAGGTTTGATAGGATAACGTTTTTCTTTGTGTGTACTTGGCCGTAGAGCAGTGTTTCTCAACCTTGACAATTTTAAGGCATGTGGAATTCTGGGAGTTGAAGTCCACATGCCTTAAAATTGTCAAGGTTGCGAAACACCGCCGTAGAGAGACGTCCTTCAAAACCTTGGGAGGTCCCTGGGCTACGTTGACCTAACAGTCTTCTCCAGGCTAGTTCCTGTCTCACCAGTTTCATTCCTACCAGGTTGGGGGAAACTGGCGCTGGATTAAGATTCAGTGGGTCTTTAAACAGGGTGTTCTGGGAGCTGAAGTCCACCCATCTTGGGTAAACTTGGCTGAAGTTGAGAAACTAAGTAAACCAGAGAAGTTGCTTTCTTGGTTTGTATGATGCATGAAAGAGATGTCCGGTTTGCTTCTTCCAAATAGGAAGCCCAGAACAAGCTAGGTTTCTCTTTCATGGAAGCTTGGAATGTCTTCAGTTGTGTCTTAGCATGACTCTAGGTCTTTCTCCCCAAAAAAGACCCTTTCAGACTTCCATGGGG